GCTAGGTGGTACCTGACTGTACCGCTCACCCTGGGCACATGAGTAGATTAGGTTTCCCAGCTGCCCTTGCACTTTGGTCTGGCTGTGTGACTGAGTTCCAGTCAGGGAACCGTGGGTAGGGAAGTGACATACACCACTTCCAGGCCTGGTAGAAAAACTTCTACGAACAGCCCTCATTCTCTTCTCCTGGTATGTCAGCGGGATACTGGTGTCCAAGGTAATCTTGGAAGCCATGTGTGGAAGAAAGCAGAGCCCTGGCAGCCTAGGACCCTGAATGACTGACTGCATGGGGCAGAGCCAGATCCGAAGGTTGGGATTGCCTAACTTCTAGAAACTGCATTCAGCATTCTCAAATCCTTTCCATGACACAATGAATACTAGCTAATATCTAATGAGCACTTAAAATGGTGCCAGGTGCTGTGCTAAGTATTTTACATGTATTAACTCGTTTAATCCCTACAGCCATCCAGACGATCCCCATTTTGTAGACGAGACGGAGGCACAGAAAGGTTAGGAAACTTACCCAAAGTCACACAGCCAGCAAGTGGCAAAGCGGCCTGGCTCCAGAGGCTGGTCTAACCACAACACCCTATCACAAGGTCTGTCACTGTGCATCGGCTGCCCACACGGTCACAGACGCACGTCTCTGACACAAGCAGGTGGCTGTGTCCCTGCAGTGGTCATCTGGAGGTCAACTTCGATGGCTTGGAGATACCCATTTCTTGTGAGGTCTGGGCAGATGGCTGCAAATCAGAGTACCTGGGTAGGGGTTATTTATGAGACTGACGCGCTGCCCACTGCGCCAAGAGGGCCGCTTGGGTAGGGGTTATTTAAAGGGGCGGGGAGACAAAGACTAAAGCAACCATCTCAAAAGAAATTGATCAAACAAGAGTCTTATGATAAAAACTTTATTGTCTTAAATATCAAATGTTTTACACATCACTTTTTCTTCAGAAAGTTCCTATTAAAAAAAGAAAAATAAAGTGTTTCAATTATTTAGGGCTGACTTAACATTTCAGTATGTGACAAAAAACTCAAACCCAAATGCATCTAGTTCACTCAGCTGCAGACAGGTCCTATGTCCAGCCCCTAAACCAAGGGCACAGTGCAGCCAACTGTGGGATTCCTGAGTTTGGTTCTCTTAAGTTCTCAGAGTTTTCCCAACTCTCAAAACCAAAGCACTATGGGAGTGACTAAGCTATTGGCAAGCCTATTTTGCCAATCCGCCTAGTTTTTTAAAGATGCAGTAGTCTCAAAGCTCAAAGAAAAGTCAGAAAAGCAATACATGAGCAATCGCAAGAACAAAGGGGAAAAGAAGGGTTTCTATTTGCTAAGATTTGCCAAATATGGCTACAAAACTGGTAAACAAACCTTACTTGAGAGTGAAGGCCATTAGCCCAACTTGCCATGAAGACGAGATTCTGAATAAAAACGAGCAAATCAATTTTCATTGTAGGTGCACAGTGAAGAAAGCAATATAATCAGTATGTTCAACTGCTCTGAGTGCATCACTATTTCAAAAGGATGATCGCAAGAATAGAGAATGGAATATAATCATTCAGAGAGAAAGGTCTCAGATAGGAGGCATACACTCAGAAAGCTGTGGGGCCTTCAGGGAAAGAAAAAAAGTCTGGTCAGCATCAGGTAATGTCAGGCTGAAGGAATCTGGAAAATCTGGAAACCAACTGGCTGATCTGACTGCCTCTGATAGGAGATTGAGAGAGGTCTCCTCCCTTTAAGCCACAAATGCATTCATTCAAGGTTGTGTGTAAAGCAAGCTCCTGGTAAACAAAATCTTTTCCCATCAGACATGGATTTTCCCATGGAAAAATATCCAGCATGCCCCTTCCCCAAGTTGGCTAATGAGAATGTTCTTATTTATGTATTTAAAGAAATACAGTTCTGTAAAAATCTAATTTTGTGTTCTACGCCCCCACCACCCCAGGTCTTCTGTCATCTGCCTAACTTTTTTAGGTAAAAGAAACATTCTCTAACTCCTACACCCTTGAACCATTTTCTCTGTAGATTTCATTCCTCAAAATTGTGCCCTGAAACTTACCAGCTATATCCCTCTCACCTTTTACAGCCCCCAGAGGGTCTAGATTACCAATCACCAATATATATCTGATAAACTTTTGAGTTTTCTAATTGTAAGCCTCAGAAGTCACTAGTAGTCAGGGCCAGAAATTCTACCTGTATGCCTCAGGATTACAACATACATGGTGACATTTTAAATAATGGGTTGAAGAATGTCCTTTTGATGGAGCTATCCTGTCAAAGATTTGGTAGAGCCTTGAATCCTCTTGTCAATAATCCTGCCCACCATCCGGTGCCATCGCTTGCTACGTTTTCTGCTCTAGATTCCCATTTCCACATCTTGCACTCAGCTGCTTTAAAACAGCAAATCCTGCAGGATCCTCTGCTAAGTCCTGTTGGCCCAGATGGTCTGTATTCCAGAGCAGCCGTGCTCAAAGGGTGAGTGGGGAGGATGCCTCAGCACACTCCACATTCCTATTCTGCGCGGAAGGGTGTCCTGATGGGAGGAAAAGCTGTCACTGGTGCGTATTTGCGATCATCTCCCATTTACTTGCACTTCTATCCTGCCCATATCCCCTTGTCCCCCGGTAGCATAAATTATTTCCAAATAATTTATACTGACCTCTTCAAGTATTTCTATCAAATGCCAGAACATTTTTTGTTGGTTTCTGATTCTATTAAAAATAATAACTTTTTAAGAGCAGTTTTAGGCTCACAGCCTCTAATTCCATTTTGAGCCTAATTTTCCCAATCTCCTCTGAATTCGAACCATTATCATTCTAATATGACTTTGAAAATAAAACCATGCTAATAGGCAAAAACAGATCTTGCTCTTAAAGCTAAAATTTGTTTCATGTCTCCTTACTAGACAGAATTTCACAAGGGCAGGCTTCCAATCTGATTTAGTCACCCCTGTATCCCCAGTGCTCCCCAGTACTGGGCACACAGGCACTTAATGTCTGATGAATAAATCAATACACACTTTTTTTTTTTTTAAGTAAACTCTACCCCCAATGTGGGGCTCGAACTCACAATCCTAAGATCAAGAGTTGCATGTCCTAACGACTAAGCCAGGCAGGCACCCCATGAATCAATGAAATCTTATTCAAAGACTCATACTGTATAGCCTTCAAGAGTACCAGACAGATTTTCTCGAATTCTGTCTTCACCACCACAATACAGATAGTGCAACAAACAACATAATAAACATCTAGAAACCATTTTTTTGGTACTCCCGATGCAAAAAAGCCCTATTATAATTCTTCTATCTAGGGAAGTCTAAAGATTTGGTGCAGGGTAATTCTGAATTAACAATGAGGGTGAGTCTTAGGACCACTCCATGCATAGCCTCTATCTTTAGGAAGGACATTTTCAAACTTTCCCTCCGATACTTCCACTTTCATTTCCCACCAAAATGTGACGCTTCTGCTATTTGGAGAAACTAAGGCACAAGAGAAAATCAAGTACATCAAAGGTTTACCCCTAAATTATTTATTCAATGAACTCCTAGGAACACCTTACTAACACTGAGAGGCCTCTAAGGTATAGAACTTAAGCCATGATTTTACATTTCTAGTTCTCAAGGACCACGCTTCGAATTTACTTTGTTGTTAAGAGGAACTGGAATTTTTTATTCTTTCAGAAAAAAAGCTATTTTTTATTTTATGGAACTCCTAACACAAAAAGGTTAACATTCCATCTTCTGGGAAAGGAAACTCCTAATAACTTGTTTCTTTCTAGTTCAGCCACAGACTATACTAAGTCACCAAATTCAAAGGAGAAATTTGGCTTTTTGGAATTTGTGCTAGAGAACAGAAGAATGCATAATCTAATTAGCTTCTCTTAGGATATGTTACCAGTGATAACAAGTTTGAAATACATCGCAGTTCAATTATCCTGCTTGCTCTCATTACAGGCGGCAAACAGGTAGGAAAAGGAAGTCTAAATGCACTGTAACTTTCCTGGCCAGTTATTTGCAAGGCTGTTTTTATATATATGGTGGAATAAAAGCCACCGTAAGTGGAGAATATATCTGTAGGTACAAAAACTGTTTGCTTTTCAGTCTATGTAAAATCAACTGTAAGGTATTTGTCAATCACACACACATATATATACACACACACACACACACACACACACGAGCCGATGGTTAAATCAACTAAGTTTTTATGGCTTTTACTAGAGATAGAAAGCTGTGCTAAGGGAAGAACAGGCAGATTCCATTTTAACTGGTTATAAAATCGGTGACACAGAGTCTCATACATCTTTCCATTTTTATGCAACCCTCTCTCGCTGGAGAAATGCTTTGGGGAAAAAACACATGGGTTGTGTCTTCCTTTAGTACATATGGAGACAAGGAGCTCTGGGAGGTTTCATAGGCTCCAAGGCAGAACAGTTTTAACACACACCCACCATCTATCCCATTCTCTTTGCCAAGCAACTGGTTATCTTTATATGTTAATGGCTAAGGCCCAAACTGTGGGATGAAGGCTACTGGCTGATGTCTGGAGGCCTAAACAGGTACAAGTGGAAATCACTCTTACCAGCTCCAATGAGCAAAATCTGCAGCCTTGGCAGAGCCGTCAGGTCACCAAGCACATTGCTGCACACGCGAATCAACTTAGGGTAAACCGCAGAAGTCATACAGGACAATCTTCTCCTCTCTTTGGTGAATAAACAGAGACCACCCTTGGAGGTGAGTGCTGACCACAGAACCGTCCGTTACTGGTTGTGGCAAAGAAGCTGTCAGTAAAGTGGCTCACTACTGTTTATGGCTGACCAGTATCCGTGTTTTAGCTACCAGAGGAGTTCACAATGATTTTATCTTATTTTAAGAGAAGTTAATCTTGAATTTCTTCACTTTTTAAAAAAAGGTTATTTTAACTTTTTTTTTTTTTTTTTTAAGTAATCTCTACACCCAACGTGAGGCTCGAACCCACGACCCTGGGATCAAGAGTCGCATATTCTTCTGACTGAGACAGCCAGGCGCCCCAAATTTCTGCACTTTCAAAAAAACTGACAATGAAGGTTCACTAGTGTCATGTTCCTTAATTCCCTTTGTGTTTTAAGAACTGCAAAATTTAAAAATGATTCAAAATCCTAACAATGTCAACAACTTCACTTTCATACAAATGATGGAACAGGAAATAAGGTTTTAAAAATCGAAGCAATTATACACTGAAAAATAAATGATGAAAAAGGACAAGGATATCTGGCAAGTGGGTTCAGCTCATTCATTCAAAGTACTACTAACAAGAATACATGTACAACTATAGGCCTATTCAATTTCCTCCTAAAAATAAATACACATATGTAGTAAAAAGCTATTATAATAAAACCTTTTGCGGGCTGATACCCTATATTCCACCTGGGATTGATTCCCAAATCTCTGCGCTGTGAAAACTGAGCGGCCAAGCCTCTGAGCAGTACGCCACCACCCAGACAGAGCCGATGAGGCCCATCTTCACGCAGAGGCCTTTTTGGAGGAGTCTGTTGTCATCGGTAACTTCCCCCACCTCATACCAACCCCACTTCGCGACCTCAAAGATTTATAAGCTTAGAATAAATTCCCAGTTACCACCCATAAAGCAAATACAGGGGCCATTGCATTGCTACTAGATTTTGCTTCAATCATAGCACCAACTACTTAATTACAATCACAGCTCTAAGAGTCGGTTGACAGAAATCCTATATGCAGTTTCCTAGTGCATCTTACATCTTTGGTGTGGGGCAGGCAAAAGGGTCTGCAACATGTGATTGTCTAAAAGAGTATCTTAAAGACAACCTGGCTGACCCGCTGTTCTGAATGCCCTCTTGAAAACAGTAAACCACAACTCCTTCTGTCAACCATCTCCTAACTTCAGAGGATCATGATGAATCTATGTGACTTTCCATCACATCACTAAAGTCTCATAACACACAGACAAATATCACAGCAAAAGGAAAAGATGGAATAGGGTAGAAGAGAAACGTCTCTAAGTGCCCCCAAATTAAAATTTCAAAAACTCCTGAGATATGAGCCTCCATTTTGATTGTGCTCAATGACTCGAATTCTGATGGAAAGAATAAGCTTCCAAAGAGAGTAAGACTTTAGACAAAATCATTTAACACTAAGTTCACGAATCACCCTTTCAAAACATCTATTTCAAACACATTGTGAACCAGAACTTGGAATCGGGAGTTATTCTCAAGATTCTTTTCAATAAAACCAAGATTTCGGATTCCTGCTAGGTACGTAAGAGTTTATTCTTCAGGAAAAACTACCTAAAATCTATCCAGTAGGATTATTGCACAGTGGGGCCCACAGGACAATGGTTTCCAAGGGCTAGTCCTCATATAAAAAAAGGCCACAATAAATACTTCTATATACTATGCCCCACTCTACCTTGACATGGTAAACACAAATATGATGCATCTTGCTTTAAAAAAGAAACTCCTGAGGAAAGAAAGGGATGGAAATCTCTACCCAAGGCCACTTGAGTCAGAAACTGCAGTTACTATTTCCGGTGCCACAAAGGACACTCAACAAAGAGACTGACCATTCCAAGCACCAAGATGAACCAGTGACAAGGTTATTTCACTCAGATCACAGCTCAACCTGAGCTGTAGATGAGCTTCTAAAGGAAATAAACTGCTGGCGATCAACCCGTTAGCAGATCTTTAAGTTCCTCATTAATCACTAAAGGTTGAGGTGTGATCAGTAAGATGCTAGCAAACCCACTCTCTAATCAATTCCAGTGTTTCGGCCATTTTTCACTCCTAGTTCTTGAAATATCACCAGGATAATTGCAAATGGAATTACAGACTCTTCCCTTTTCTATCTGGGTAGCACCATGTTTCACTCTGATGTTGACTCCCCCGCCCCTCCCCCGCAGTGTCCCACCCCAAATACTTGGCAATCCATGCAGCAGCCTATGATGCACAAAGCAGCCCAAGTTCTAAACCCTCCCACCTCATCCCATAAAAAGGTCAAATCCTAACCAAACAAATAAAAACATACCACTCTAGGAGATATTAGTCAACTACTCTTCAATTTCCTGTTGTTAACTGATGAATCATCAATACACAGAGCACTAAGTGTAATTCCAAACACCAAACCATGTGATCCAGTTTGTAAATGGACAACTGACCAACAAGCCATACCTTGCCTACAGTACAGACAAAGCCAAAATGGGAAGCTGATTTGCTTTTAGCTGCATGGGCGGTGGGATTTCTCATGGCTTCTGCTTTTTAAAGCATTCACTCTCATTCTAAAATGGTATGCTATACACGAAACCATCAATTTTATTCCAGAATACATCATCTTAATGATAATAAAAAGCTTTTGTATGCACATTACTGCCAATACATTTAAAAAGGCCCAAATTTTAACAAAGAGAATAGACAAATTCATCAGACAAGAGATAAGTTACTTTGGCCGAAAAAAATCCTTAAAAAAAATCTGGCTCAACATTCTGCTTGCAGGTTTCTACATACACTGTATATGTGGTGAGTGTGTATGTGTGTGTGTGTGTGTGTGTGCGTGTATAGCTTTTTTAAAGGGAATGGAGTATGGTCTAGCCCCCTTTTCCATGGTTATGTAGGAACTACAATGTTCTTTGCTAGCAAAACAAGAAGTGCAAGGTCTGCATTTCCACCAACTCGATGCAAAGCCCCAAGAGCTTCCTGCAAAGTGAAGCCAGCACGGAGAATGCGGTCAATGTCTGCGGCGGGAAAAATTAATGGTGGAAGAATGGAGGGACTTGATGCTGGCTGGCTGGGAGGTGGTTCAAACTCAAGAAGTGGTCCTGCAGCTTCAGGACAGACATCTTCTCTGGTCTCAGGCCTGTCTGGCACTGGCTTCTGTGTGCCCGGACCCAAATCTTGAACCAGTATGAAATTGGACAAGGACTTCGCTTGCTCAGAAGTGTGACTGACTGCATCCTCCTCACCGGCTAAGGGTTTGCATGGAATGTCTACACCTAAGGTGCAGTGTGACTGATTAGACGTTTTAGCTGAGGCTAGAGTGGCAGAGCTGCTCTCCTTTCCAGATTCCCTAGGCTTGGGGACACTTTCCTTATCCGTTACTAGGCCATCACCCGGATCCCTTACGGTACTACTTTCTACTGCATCTACTCCAGCACCATTTGAAGTGTCTGGTAACTTCTCTGCCCTCACCGATACAGATATGGTCTGATGAAAGGTGACTTGTGAATGCTCTTCATTCTGGGCAGCTGTAAGATGCTCACTTTGGGTCCATCTTTCAGAAAGGTCCTTAGTAACTGTTTGGCCCTCAGTTACCATTTCGGACTGACAGATAACTTCCCCAGATCTATTTTCTGAAGCTGGTTTACTACTAATGACCAGAAGTTCATGGAGTTCCTTCAAGGCTGCTGTTAGAGATGAGCATGATTCCTCTGCTGACTCCACAGAGGGCTGAGAACTGCCACAAAGACTTAAGGAGGGGGAGCAATCCCCATCTTCTTTACTTGTTCCAGACATTTCAACATTGCTGTCTGGGAGCTGTAAATCCTGAGTGCAAACTGAATTACTCAAAATTTCAGACGGAGGGTTACCTCTTGGTGTTTCTACTTCCATCAAGGGATTATCTAAGGTGAGAGCAGATGCACGGATGTTCTTGACACCGGCATGCTGACCATCTGCCGAATTAAGCATAGCAACTAGGGACTCTTCAACTGTATCTACTTCCATAAATGTTTCTGACTTTGAGCAGCCAAACCATCCTGAAGGTAGAGTACTTTCCTCTGTACCTGGAGGGTCCGCATTCTGTCGTAGCCGGTCTTCTTTCATCGTCGATTCCAAATCAACACTTCTTTGTTGATTCTGTTGCCTTTCTCCAAGAAGTTCAAAGTCCTCTGCGTTACAGAGATGTTCTCGGTCATTTAGAGCGTTCTGTTGTCCAACCCCGTGCTGTTCATTCCCTGGTTCTTTGTGCTGCCGAAGGCCATTCACCTGATGCAGGTTCTGATTTTCTGGATGCCAACCCTTCTCACCTAGAAACCCCGGTGGTTCTTGCACCCTAGTAGTTGTGACAGATACACTAGCTTGCTGTCTTGTGTGGAGATGAGATCTGAGGCCCTGGGTGCTTCTTTCAGCAGATTTCTCCGTATTATCGGCAACAATGGCTTCTTCAGAGGAATTCTGCAAAGGTATGGCTGGACTCTGGTCTGCTGGAGCACTGTCTGCTGAAGAAGCACTATCAGAAAGATCCTGCAGAGGAAGATGTTCTTTCTTTTCAGAGGTTATCTGGAATTCAGCTGAAGCCTTCAAAGCCTTCACAGCTTTAGGTTCGATGCTGTCGGGGTCACTGGGCTTGATAGGGCAGACTGAAGCAGAGACAGAGTGAGCAAGACTCATAGGATTACCAATCTCAGGACTCTGTCCTGAAGGATGGGCTGGATGGTTAAATCCATCTGAAGTTGGTAATGATGACATTCCCAGTGAGGTAGTTTCTTTACCGCTTTTCTCTATATGGACCAAAAAGGAAAGGAGATTAATCAGCAGGTTACAAAGGCCACTAAATTATCAGATGATACAAATCTAAACAGGACGGAACAAAATTAGGTCCTTAAACTTGGGTTTGTCTTATATTCATAGACTTATACAAGAACCATTCCCACTGGGGTAGACAATTTAACATCACAGGATCAGAATAAGAGGTAGGTACATTCTTAATAAAACATGTGCACTCTAATTCAGTATTTTTCTTTAAGTACCATTAATAAACATCCACATAGTGGCTGGGTTAGTGCTCAAGACCGAGGGAAAAGGATGTATCTTTAGTCTCAGTGAGCTCAGAACTCTAGAATAGTTTCTCCGAGTGTATTCTATCACTTGCCCTGAAGTCACCTGGCATGTTTGCTAAGCGTGCACACTCAGGGGCACTCATCCTTGGGAGTAAACCCATGAATATGCATTTTCAATAAGCTCCCCAGGTGATTCTTAAGCATGTCACACATTTTGAGGATCTCTACACTGAACAATTCTCATGTCAAGGCACTTTTAGTGTTTCAAATGTGAACACGAAGGTTCTAAACGACAATTCTAAATCCGGGTATATCTGGAACAGAGTGGGAATTATAATGAGAAAGGAGAATACGCTTGGGAATCTCCAGAAGACAGAGAAACGTCCCATTTAATTCATTTCTACCCAAACTTCCTGAAAATCAGGATAAAACTACGTTGAGTGTGGAGTCAAAGAACAAAAATAAGGCTAAAGGTCAAACAGATTAAATCCAATCATCACCTTACCAAATAGGGCAACTTTAGAAAGGATTATCAGTTACTTTATCACATTAACATAGTACAACTAAGTGAGAACATTTAAGTACTTTAAGGGCACGGTAGGGGGTGGTCCTGGCAGTGGAGGGAGATAGTTTGTAATGGTTTTTTGCCAGGCAATGACAATTTAGATTGACTGCAACTAACTGAGCACTCACAGGATGGCAGGCTCAAACACCACCTCATGACACCATTAATCATCACTCCAACCCGCCTTTTGCCACGGATCCAGTTAAACATCGATCTCTACCGCAATTACTGTAAGATCTTTAATTAAATGCCAAAGGCTGGTAACAAAGATTACTTCACAATACAATCTATTAGGGCAGATGTGACTCAAATGCTTCATGCTGATTAACATCCAATGTGGTGGGCCTGATCCTTAAGAAGGCACGAAGCAATCCAGTTAGGATTCAAACAGCTCTAGATCATTCTAATGCAACACTGGTTAACAGCAGGAGAAGATAAAGCACTAACTACGTCAGGAAGTTACTGACTTCTTGCAAAAACAATCTGATAGTTTAGAGGTAAACGGGACAACAATATTTATTTCAGTGCAAATTATACCCATTAGTGCCTAGAAACACAGTGATTAGTTTTATTTATCAATCTCTAGAGCTGACTCTAGAACTCTAGAGGTTCAACTGCGAGTTAATGCCAACAGAGAAGATGCGTTACAGTGAAGTATCCATGTGAGTGGCCTTCTGGCACCAACGTGCCAGTGAGGACGACTGAGTGACGTCAAGGAGAACACGGCCTCCATGTGTTTGGTACTCACTATGAAAGCAGCAGACAGTCCTCCTGTAGCTGAGAGGGTCAGTCTCACTGGCCTAAGTCCTAACTAGGGGAGCACCGGGTCAGTACTATAGGGAGGAGAAGGGGATGAGGACAATGGATATGAAGGCTAATTAAACCGTGCCTACTTTTACCCCACCTTTGTAAGGAAAAAGGAAAAAAGAAGAAATTGAGTGCTAGGTATCTAATTACAACCAGCCTGCAAACCCCTATACAGTCTAAGGTTGGTAGTTTAAACTCTTTCTTCCTCTTGAGAAATCAGCCGGTACGCTCAGGCTGCTGTCTCCCAGATTTACACTCTAGGGAAACGGGGGCAGAGTGCCTCCGGGGGAGAGTCTGTCAGGCTAGGGAGAGACGGAAGGGCCAAGTGTCAGCTCTTCTTTGTGGGAAAATAAAACCTCAGTCCTGCCCACGTTAGTGAACCTGTGTCCCTAGACAAGTCAGCTGGTCTAGGCTTCCACTTCTTCCTCAGTGGACTGGCAGTTTCTACCTGTCTCTAACTCTATGTGGTTGTGTGCAGTGCTAGGAAAAAAGAACTTTCAGGTTTTCAGAAGAAACAGACTCAAGAAACCCCTGATGGTGTAGTTACCCCAACAACAATGCACTGTGGTGCTGACATTCTTGATTTGATATATTCACCATGGCCAGATGGGCCGTTTTTCCTGGGATTTCCCTCCCCTCCTTGGACTGTTCCAATGGTTGAGAAAACTTTGCATAGGAAATTGCGCTCAGTTACGTACTTATGCCAACACACAGATGCATATACAGGCTAGTTGTAACCAGATTAAACAAGGTGAAATGGATGGCAGAAGCTAAATTCCAAAACTGCTGCAGATACAGAGACTTTCAGACCACAGACGATAACTGGATGGAAGGCTTAACGTGGTGTCTATAAATACCTGGTCTGGGGCCCACTCCAGCTGCAGTACACACACACTACATGCATCATGGCTTCTGACGCTCTGTTTGAATTAGGAAACAGACAAGCAAACTTGGGTTAACAATGCAAACCACACAGCATGCAGGGTTTTGTCTCCATTCCTCTGCCACCTTTATAATCAGGAACTGGTAGAGTCAAGCTTGGGGAATGTTTCTGTAGTCTAGTTGGTTTAATTCTCTCACAATACATAAAGCAATGTGTCAACTTCAACAGATTTTTCAAAAGAACTTGGAAAGAAATGAACTTCACACACCCACACACACAGAATTCATGGGCAGACATGTGGGACGGGTGGAGAACAGCAGACCCATAGATGGAATCACACGGTATGGAAATCTTAAAGGTGAGCGAACGCTTGTAACAGTCACTTTCCAAATTTCCTACTCAGTTGAGATTTATTTTTAGAAGAAAAACAAACCAACCTGGATTACCCTGGCTTATCTTTTAGCCAGTTTTTAGAAGATGTATTAGATACAGCTCCTATTCAGATTTATTTTTCCATTGATAGAAAAGATAAAGACACTCTGGTATAAGGTATCCACCAAAGAAACAGTTTTTCGCAAAAATACTTTCATCTACTATGTCCAGAGTTTTGATTTTGATGATACTGGGAAACTGGTGTTCCAAACAAACAGGACCTGATGTAGAATTATTTCACTACTTAAACATTATAAAAATTAGCACAAGCCACGTATCATCAGTAACAAAAAGTCACGTGGGAAAAAACCCATTTCCTTTTAATCCTTTTAAAAAATATTTTTATTTTTTAATTTTACTTTTCATGTCCTTAAAGTAATCTCTAAGCCCAACGTGGGACTCAAACACGTGACCCCAAGATCAGGAGTCTCACGATCTACCGACTGAGCCAGCCAGGTACACACCTCCTTTTAATCCTTTCAATTGGTACATTCCCTTCACTATGCTGAAAACACCTGTGGTTTCTATTTTAGTTTCCTGAACTTTTTATTACAAGAAGATTATTACCCAAAGAGGGTAACTGTTAGTGGGTTAGAAAGCATTGCTATCATCAGCTAGTGCTTCTCAAATAAAAACACCAAATTGTGGGGGAAAAATGGAGATTTCACAAGATGGTAATACATCTTCATTTTATTAATACCCAGTATTATGACTAAGCTGACAAGTTACTAAAAACAGGTAAAACCTTCTAAGTGGGTATGTCAAACTCAGTCAAGCTTGCCTTGCAGGGAAGATTAAAACTATTAATTTTGTCTCTATCTGGTGGTTCAGAATTCTCCCCTTCCTGCAAAACAGTTATGTCACAACCAAAGCTGTACTTTATATGTAAAACTCAAAGGTACCAAAAGGTGTGGTGATTAGGAACAAGGCCGGCTTGGAAAACTCTGTCTACTACCCACACCCATTTTAAAGAGGCTCAGGGCTAGACCTCTGGGTGTTCTCTAAGTAAAAACACTGGCAAAATCTAGCTGCTTATTTTTTAAAGATCCTGTCTTTTTTGTCTTTAGGAGAAAGCTATTCCCTGGACTTGTAGCTCTAATACATTTTGCTATACCAGAAAACACAGTGTGTGATATTAGTCACTGATGAATAATTACAGCTCAAGACTTTAAAATAACCCCACCTTAAAAGTGAATTCTCTTCAGCTTCTAGAAAATGTATCCCAGAGTCACTGTTTTATAACAGATGGGGAAAAATTATGCCATGAAGGTAGGATTTCAGCAAAAATGTGTCCTTCCACTTAGCCCAGAAAACCTGGCTTGGTCTTTAGATTTAAACAAGGCATGACAACTGAGACTTAACGAAAAAATGATTAGGTATCCCTATGTCAACAGCTGATCTACTGTTCTAATTTGGCCCAAGGACACACTATGCAATCTCATTAATAGCATAAACACTGTAGTTTGATTAGTGTTCAATTATGCATCTTATCGTCAGTTCCTCTATGGTGGCAACACTTTCAGTACCTGTTAAAAAGGCTGGGACTGCTTAGTCACAACAACAATGCTTTCCTTCAAAGGAAATGGGCCCAAGAAAAGGAAAATAAATTTTCAGGGAAACTGTAGAACTCAAAAGGAAATGTCTGCTTAATTTTTTTTTTCTTTTTTAAGGTAGGCTCCACACCTAGCATGGAGCCCAGTGCGGGGCTTGAACTCACAACCCTGAGATCAAGACCTGAGCTGAGATCAAGAGTTGGACCCTCAACCAACTGAGCCAACCAAGTGCCCCTGTAGTAATTTTTGTTAGGAAAAAAGAAACAAGATTTTTAAGGAAGCCTACCAAAATGTGCTTAAGCAAATAACTCCCTGATGTACCTGGTAACACAGCAATGGATCTGTCGAAACACCAAGGTTTTCTTTATTGGATTCAGAGATAGGGAGAGGTGGTGAGAGGACAAGGAACACATCCATGACAGGACAATGACACGGATTAGAAACTGAAAAGGTCCCCAACCCCTCTGAAGATCCAACCTCCCCCGCTCACCAACCAATAACAAGAAAAGTTATTCGAGAGCTTGGCCACTGCAAATACCTGCATCCTCTACGGATTTCTGAAGAGCTTCTGCTAATTCTTGGTCTGCGATCTCCTCTGGCCGCACATCCTCTCGCCCAGCCCCGTATGCCAATCGGGCACACTCTGGTAACTCTCCCTCGGGAAGGAAGGTGGTCTGAGAGCCTGTGGTGCCGATCACGAGTACATTTTTCTTGAGGTCAATGGAACACTTGGAAGGAAGAAACCAAAGACAGATGACAGTGGATAAAACGCCATGCAGAAAAATTATCATGAATTTAAATATTTAAGTTTTATTTCATATTTAAATATTTTTAAGTATTTAAAGTTTATAGCAGAATCCTCTTCACAGGATGCAGTTTACACTTATTCGTCTAACCCAAGCTCTATTCATTTCTGAACTTAAATGTAATACATGTTCATTGTAAAAATTTGGAAACATGCCAGGCATAATCAGCAGCCCCACTTTTTAGAAACATGTAAGTGACTTTTTCTTATAAAACTGAGACATACTATTTATACATTCACATTTACATTACTATTTACATTTTGCTTATTGCATAAAGTACAGCTTATATTTAAACTCTATACCAATGATCTCAAAAGTGGTATATGGGCAAGGCCATCTCTACAAAAGTATTCTTTATTTCATACTTATGCTGCCCTCCTTTTTTGTATATTTTTCTGTGTATATGACATAGGACAGTACACACATGCATGTTTTGTATCTATCAAGTTGGAGAGTACTGGTCTATACCATGACTAACAAACGGAGAAAGATGGTGACAAGTTTAAAAATTGGGTTTTATTGGGCGCCTGGGTGGCTCAGTTGGTTAGATGACTGCCTTCAGCTCAGGTCATGATCCTGGAGTCCCGGGATCGAGTCCCGCATCGGGCTCCCTGCTCGGCGGGGAGTCTGCTTCTCCCTCTGACCCTCCCCCCTCTCATGTGCTCTCTCTCATTCTCTCTCAAATAAATAAATAAAATCTTTAAAAAAAATTTTAAAAAATTGGGTTTTATTAAAACATGCATTCACTCATCCCTTCTACTTAAAATTCTGCACCTTCAGTAGAATATTAATGCAGTATATTTTATAGGAATTTAGTAATAAAAATCTTTTTAAACAGTACTAGTGACATAAAAATATTGACTAGATATGAAATATTGCTGTGAAAAATCTTATTACCCAGTGGACATTAACTGCTTCTTCAATCAGAAGAGTTTATCTTTAAACAAATTATTAGGCTTCAGAGTGGAAATATAAATATCACTGCAAGCAAATATCTTTACAAATCATCCTCCCTGTACTAAATAAACATTTCCACTCCCAACATCTCATGTACACCTTCCTTAATCCTGCAGCTCTTCTTACTGAGCATCGTCTGTCTAGCTAGTAAGGATTTACTAAACGTATACTTGCAGTAAAATCACCATCATGGGGAATGCAAGCTGGTGCAGCCACTCTGGAAAACTGTATGGAGGTTCCTCAAAAAGTTGAAAATAGAGCTACCATATGATCCAGCAATTGCACTCCTGGGTATTTACCCCAAAGATACAAAAGTAGGGATCCGAAAGGGTACGTGCACCCCGATGTTTATAGCAGCAATGTCCACAATAGCCAAACTGTGGAATGAGCCAAGATGTCCATCGACAGATGAATGGATAAAGAAGATGTGGTAGATATATACAATGGAATATTATGCAGCCATCAAAAGGAATGAGATCTTGCCATTTGCAATGACGTGGATGGAACTGGAGGGTATTATGCTGAGCGAAATAAGTCAAACAGAGAAAGACATGTATCATATGACCTCACTGATACAAGGAATTCTTAATCTCAGGAAACAAACTGAGGGTTGCTGGAGTGGGGGGTGGGGTGGGAGGGATGGGGTGACTGGGTGATAGACACTGGGGAGGGTATGTGCTCTAGTAAGCGCTGTGAATTGTGCAAGACTGTTGAATCTCAGATCTGTACCTCTGAAACAAATAATGCAATATATGTTAAGGAAAAAAAAAAAAGAAGAAGATAGCAGTAGGGGAAGAATGAAGGGGGGAATCGAAGGGGTAGACGAACCATGAGAGACGACGGACTCTCAAAAACAAACTGAGGGTTCTAGAGGGGAGGGGGTTGGAGGAGGGGTTAGCCTGGTGATGGGTATTGAGGAGGGCACGTTCTGCATGGAGCACTGGGTGTTATGCACAAACAATGAATCATGGAACACTTCATCTAAAATTAATGATGTAATGTATGGGGATTAACATACCAATTAAAAAATAAAAAAATAAAATAGAAAAAAAAATCACCATCATGATGGCACCTGGGTGGTTCAGTCAGTTAAGTGTCTGACTCTTGACTTCGGCTCAGGTCATGATCTCAGAGCTGGGAGATCGAGCCCTAAGTCGGGCTCTTTGCTGGGTATGGAGTCTGCTTAAGATTCTCTCTCCCCTTCTCCCTTTGCCCCTCCCCCACCTCTCAAAAAAAAAAAATTACCATCATGTGTTGTTGAGATCCCGCAAGCCCGTCAAAAATTACCTGAGTTCCCATCAAAAACTAAAAATAACACAAGAGAACAAAGTTGCCCATTATAATCTCAAACAGATGGCAAGATTTAAAAGATTCAGAGAGATTTCACAAGAAGAAATTCTATTTCTACGGATACATAATTTCAAACCATGCATGATGACATCCTCAATTAAGGACCTTTCCAGGTTGGAGAAGCCACAGTACACACAGCCAAGGGAGACGATGCGCTAATAACCGTGTAACACACAAAATGCCAATGCAAAAGGAAAGTGAAGCTCTTAACTACCTGATGCCGCTTCAGCATGTCCAGTCCCAGAAGCATGTCCATGGGCTGTTCCTCAAGTATAGAGAAAGAACACGCCAGGAAATCTCCTTCAATCTGAACCTGAGCTAAAGCACATTAAGAGAAGAGATTATGGATTTTTATTTTAATCTGTACTTTTTATTTATTTATTTTTTTGAGATTACTGATTTTTGCTTCAAAAGCCTCACACAAGCTTTGGAAATATATCTATCATTCTGTGCCTTGCTTCCTATAATCAGTCAAAGCCAGGGCAAAGCATGAAACAGGTGAGTTAAGTATGAAAATCCAGTAAGCCCAACGATTGGTTTGAAAGCCAATGAAGGCACCAGCTTGTAAAGTGGATAGACTGGAACGACACTACCCAGAATACCCAGCTAGATGCATGGTACCATCGGGACACATGTTCAGCTGGTAAGGAAAGCTGGTCCTAAGTTCCTCCAATATTAACCACTTGCTTCCTACACGCTTACAAAAGGCTTTCTAAAAGAGAAATAAAATCTGTACATTAAGTTAGCCTCCAAAAAGTAAACTGTTTATTATTGCCTGTTATAATCAAGTTTCTATTTGCGAAAGCCGAGACAAACCAATGCCTGTGTTTGCCTGGAGCCTCCTGCTTTGCCTCTTTCCTTAATTAGTCCTCTTACTTTATATATATATATATATATATATATATAATATATTAAAATTACTTTGTTGGGGCACCTGGGTGGCTCAGTTGTTGAGCGTCTGCCTTCGGCTCAGGTTGTGATCCCAGGGTCCTGGGACCAAGTCCCACATTGGGGGGGGGGTCCCTGCTCAGCAGGGAGCCTGCTCCTCCCTCTCCCACTCCCCCTGCTTGTGTTCCCTCTCTCACTGTCTGTCAAATAAAAAAAAAATCTTTAACAAATAAAAAAAATAAAAATTACTTTGTTATTAAGTATTTCTTTTTTTTAAAAGATTTTATTTATTTTTGAGAGCATGAATGCACTGCGGTGGGGGAGGGTGCAGAGGGAGAAGCAGGCTCCTCTCTGAGCAGGGAGCCCAACTCGGGACTCGATCCCAGCACCCTGGGATCACGACCCGAGCCAAAGGCAGACTCTCAACTGACTGAGCCACCCACGTGCCCTGTTCTTAAGTTTATCTTACAAACAGAAGAGTATATGAAATGTGTACAGTATAAAGCCTAATAGAACAAACACCGATGCATTTATTTCCCAGGTTAGAAAACACAAAGCACAGAAATCCCCTATACATTCTACTGATCATAACTTAGTGACTTCTCCAACCTTCCCTACTATCCTGGTTTTTGTGTTCATCATTCCCAGCTTTTTAAATAATCCTTACCAGTTCTGTATGATTTCTGAGCGGCATTACTGTTTAACTTTGTGTTTTTGAACTACCACTTGCTTCTTTACCCAAGAAGTATTTTGAGATCTATCCCTGTACATGGGACTCTGCTTCTTTCACTTTAAATCACCCCTTAGAGTACTGTAATGTCTAATATACCACAACTGATTTATCGATTCTATTGCTCCGAGACTTTCTGGGTCACTTTCAGTTTTCTGCTGTCATAAGCAATGCTACCCTGAATATTCTGGTACTTGTCTCCTGGTGTGTATTCAGTTTCTCTAACGGTGTGTATACATATATATATATGATATATATATATCATAGTAAATGGAATAGTAAATGGAATCAGAGTTCTAGGGAATATTAGGCTCAACTTTGCTGGGTGATGCTGAATTTTCTAAAATGTTTCTAGCAGTGTATAAAATTTCCACTGCTCCACATTCTCACCAACACTTGGTTTTATCAGATTTAAAATCTTGCTAATCTGGCAAGTAATTTTACAAATTTTCATATATTTAACCATCTGGGTTTCCTGTTCAATAGTGCATGGGGGCATCTGGGCAGCTCAGCCGGTTAAACATCTGACTTCAACTCAGGTCATGATCCCAGGACCCTGGGATCGAGCCTCACATCAGGCTCCCTGCTCAGTAGGGAGTCTGCTTCTCCCTCTGCCCCTCCCCTCTGCTCCTGCTCATTCTCTAATTAAAAAAAAAAAAAAAAAATAGTGCTTGTTCAGTCGTTTCTGTAATTTTTTTTTTTAAGCAGGCTCCATGCCTAGTGTGGAGCCCAAAGCAGGGCTTGAACTCACGACCCTGAGATAAGACCTGAGCTGAGATCAAGAGTTGGACCCTTAACTGAGCCACCCAGGTGCCCCTATACTGTCTTTTCTCCTGAGTTGGAAGACAGATAACACACACAGAATGTACATATTCTGAATCTGAATCCTTTATTAGTCATATGTGTTACAAAAATTCTTTCCTACTTTGCATTTGTTCACTTTCTTTATGTCTTTCGATAAAAAGTTCTTAGTCTTAATGTGGCCAAATTTGTCAAATAATTTCCTTCTTAACTTTTTAAGGAACCCCTTCCCCGTGCAAGATATTCTCCTATATTTTCTTCTAAAAGCTGTGACTTTGCCTTTCACATCAAGGTCTTTCATCAACCCTGAACTGACATTTGTGTGTGATGTAAGACAGGGTCCAATCTCCAATTCATTTTTTCCACATGGACACCCAGCTGTCCTAGCACCGTTTCCTGAAAACTTCCCTCTGCTCTGTAAGATTTCCTCTCTCATTTATCAAGGTCCACATAAGCATGGGTCTGTTTCTGTTCTAGTTCTTTGGTCTTGACATCTAGAAGGGGAAGTTATTCCAGAGTATCTTGCCTATTCCTACAATAAATGGCCCATGTAAAATTTTAAGTTAGCACATTAGGTCTCACAAAAAAAAGAAACCTATTAGCATCTTCAGGGTTTTACAATGATTCTACTGTTGATGAAGAATGTGGGAGAATTACCACCTTCGACGTCCTGAGGCTTCTTATCCGTGACATAGCTCCCCTTTACTTAGATTTCCCTTATAATCGTAAGGTTTTCTTCCTGCCTATCATAGCCAAAGCTGCAAATGCTACAGCTTGCCCAGCCATAAGGAAGGACACAAGAGACTGGTACTTACTTTACTTCCTCCTATCATCTTCCTACTTTAAACCACAGAAATTCTGAGAATTCAGACTCTGAAGCAACCATTGTGTGATAGTTCAGGCCCACGTATGTAGGGAAGTATATGTGAGGAAGGTATTTAAACTATTCTTAGTCTATACAAATCGACAAAAGAAAACACAGAGACTCTAATAGACAAATATATTACAAAAGAAAGAGAAAAATGGGTAGAAACTATCACTGGAAATAAAAGAAACTTACAGTAAAAAAACAAACCCTTTTTTAATCTGTACATTAAGGGAGTAAAAACTAATAACCCTTGATTGCATAAAGACCTCAAGATGAATACTGATTCAGTGCTGGGAAAGCTGCTTTGGTACAAGTTAGAAATACATCAAGAGCTTTTAAGTATTCATAACCTTTGATTCAGTAGCTTCACTTACAGGAATTCTGACTAAAAAAAATTAAAATGTGCATAAAACTACACAAAAATCCACTGCCATATTACAATAAAATATTGGGGGGAAATTTTATCCTAAAAGTTGACCATTAAACCCATACAAGAGAATGCTATGCATCTGAATGCTGCCTATGAAATACCTAGTAACACTAGAGAAATATTATGAATATTATTTTTTCATAAAACAGAGTACAAAATTCTATACATTATATGACCACATTTTTACAAGAATAAAACGCATGGAAAAAAAGGCCAGAAGGAGATTAAGTGGGACTTGGTGGTTAAGTCTCACTCAAAAGGATTTAAAGTATTAAGAAAAAGAACAATTTTGGTTAGAGATGAGGGACTGAACACATGTATTTATCTCCATTTACTCCTAAAAAATTCATAGTAAAAGTCTGTTTAAGGTACAAATCACTAAGGACAAAAATAATGGAAGAAACAACTGAAACACAATTTTGGAACAGAAAGCAGAGGACAGTAAGGAAAACCAGGAAGCAAGCCAGTTCACATGTCAGAACTCCCCAGAGGCTGATGAACAAGGACCTGTGCAAACAGGGGTAGAGGTGGGTCCAAAGCAGGAAGACTGGGTGAAGGTCTCTGTAGGAGGCACAGTTAGATCTTGGGGTTCCCTCTGGCCCTGCTCAGTCATGTGACTTCTTCCGTTCACCTCCACAGTAGACCAAAGGTTTATTTTCTCAAAAGGGTAAAACAGAGGTGGGCACGGAGGAAGACAGAGATACAACAAGCACATAACTGAAACCCAGGGGGATGAAGTTCAAGTTTACTGAGCATCTAGCCCTTTTCTCCCTTCCAACTTCCAGATCACTCACAATTGCCATGGCTGCCCACCCAAGTAATCTTCCAAATAGCCTTTTGGTGTCCCGGTCTTCAATATGAGCAGATGCCAAGGGTCACCAGCCATCTAACACAAACATCAAATAAATGCAAAACATAATAGAAAGGTTGGGAGGCAAAGTTGAGGAAATCTGCCAAACAAATAACACACCCAGGACACATGAAAAGAGAGAAACAGGAAAGAAAGAAAACTAGAAGACAAGTCCAGGATAGGAGATTATCCCACCTGAGCAACAGACATGGCGGGGGGGGGGGGGGGGGGGGAGTGAAAGGTACCCAGTGCAGTGGATGAAGACAGATCTATACCTGAGTACATCACTGTGCAATTCCAAAACACTGAGGTCAAAGAAAATTCTACAAGCTTCAGAAATGGAAAAGAACTCTTTCACATAAAGGGTCAAGAATCGGGACAGCAGCCAGCTTCCCTACAGAAACACTGACAAAAACTGGAAAACAGATTAGCCACACTGGTAGAATATAGGGGAAAAAGACAAGTTCTGATTCTTAAGGACTCAGTTTCCTCCCTTACACTTCTTCTCAGGAAGCTACTGGAAGGTGTACTCTACGGCTGAGGAGCCAAATTACAAAGAGTGAGACGGGATGCACATAATCCCATCTACCACCAAGGGGAAAGGAGCCTTTGAGACCCAGGCAAGGGAGATTCTAAACAGCAGCTGTTCGGCGGCTCTGAAACACCCATCCAGTCTCTAGAAGACTCTTCAACAGGATGAAATGCATAAAGAAGATTTACACAACTAGGTAAGTGTTTGGGGACTGAGTAACACATAGAATCCCAAATGACCAAAACAAAACAATTATTACGAGAAAAACAATACCAGACACAAAAGGAAAAGCAATCATTTTCAATTAGATGGCTCAGCTCTCAACAGTATTTTACATATCAGTAATAGCACAATACGTGTGTTATTTTGAAATATGAAGGTAAGCACCAAAAGAAATGAGCTAAAATAGTTGAAAGGGACCTCTAAGGGGCAGGAACAGAGAAGTACACAGCGACTGATTTTTCGTAACCAGCTAAAACATGTACATGTATAATTCAGACAGAACAGAGGATTTAAAATTCCTGGCGATTAGGCTTGCTGGATCAGATACACCTATGCAAAATAAATTTTTAAGAATCTACTACTTTGAAAAGACTCCCGCGGTGCCTTTGCTCACCTAGATGTACCCTTCCAATAATCTTCTGGGTGCCCACTCCTTTGGCGATCCCTGCCCACCGACGGTCCACCAGCCTCATTATATTACACCTTTCTGCACAAGCTTGGCTCATAATAGTCATCTGGGCACCTAAAAGCGGAGGGAAACATCAGATAATAAAAACAAAGTCCACGTTTGTGCTAAGATTAAAAATGCAGACTGAGAACAGGGCAGAGAGCAAGTTCACCCCCAGGCTTTTGTCTGTGTAAAATTATTCATACCTAGCTTAATCTAGCCCTTAGTTGTTCCTGCCACACTTAATTCAACTTTCAGTTATACACTGGAATCTGAAACGCAGTGTAGAAACCTAACAGGGAGTGAAAGAATATTTTGTTTAAATGTAATAATTGGAAGACATTTTCAAACTTTACCGACAGAAAGCAAAACTACCTGGAGAGGACTTTCAGAAAGTCAAACCATATCTACAGATGGAAATGCTAAGTTAAGCACTACTTTACAGTCAGATCCATCTTCACCAAGTACCTCTAAACATCTTATCAGATTATTTTTATTTCAAACTTTGGGACACTATAATTTACTAGGTAAAACCTGCAGTCTCTCAAATAAATACGAACTGAACTCCCCCTCTCTGCGCCAACAATCACACTCTGGCAAAGAGGGCAGTTAGGGTCTTTTCTTGCGTGTATTCACCCATGCAGCTGAAGCAGGCCCGTGCAGGAGACAGACATATCTCTGTTTTCCCCTATGGTCCTAATCTTTCCCAAGACTCTAGTCTACACGTCTGTGTGCTCGACATTTCCATCTCCAAGCCAACAGGTATTAAACCCTTTCTCCCCCAAGTAATTCTCACTTTGGATTTCTCTCCTTAGCAATGAAGTTACTTTCTTGCAACACAAACTTCGTACTTGTGACTCCTTGTCTTTTAGCCTTCTCCCCACTCTCAAACTCTGCTCCAACCCTGTGAATAAGTTTTATGCAATTTCTATTTCTGACCTTCCTTCTTCTAACTATAGCAATCAGCCCAGCTTACACCCTATTCCCCTCGCTGGTGGACAATTTCTCTGGTTTCCAAACCACTCTGTGGAGGTATAATTTAAAGCAAGGGAATAGTTCTGACTCTGAGGGATACAGAATTTTCCAGATCTGTCACTGTTGTCAGTCTTCCTCAAATATGATCTTCAGATCACTTACTCATCTGCTCAAAAATCCTCGATGGCTCCTCCTCTTTGTAAGATTAGCTTCAAACCACCTGCCACAGTTTCAGAGTCTACCTCATCCTGGCCAGACTGCTTCCTGCTGCTCCAGACAGGATGTCTGTGTCCCTCCAAACCTCCTTTGTTGAAACCATCACATTCCTAATGTGATTGCATTAGGAGGTGGGGCCTTCAGGAGATGAGTAGGTCACAGAGGTGAAATCCTTGGGAATGGGACGAGCATCCTTACACAAGAGCCCCCAGACAGCTCCCTCACCCTTTCTGCCATGTGAGGACACTGAGAAGATGAATGTCTGGGACGGAGGAAGTGGGTCCTCAGCAGACACCGCACTTGCCCGCACCTTCGTCCTGGATTCCCAGCCTCCAGAACTATGAGAAATAAACCGGTGTTCATAAACCCCCCAGTCAGTGGTATTCTTTTATACCAGCCCGAAGAGATGCATCTATCAGCCCCATACTCTGACTGTTCTAAACCCTCCACTTGGACAGGACCAAGTTGCTCCCTCTGCCTCTTACTCCCGCTGACCCTACTGCAGAGTGCCCCCCTCCCCCGCCTTCACTTTCTCTGAACTCCACTTAGGCGGTAAGGTCCAGCTCAAACCCCGCCTCCTCCCCAGCTGATCAGCCTTGCCCAGTGATCTCCCCTCTCGTTCAATTCCAACACTTCCTGTTCGTTTTACTCATTAGGCACCTTACGCTTTATGGGCACTGAAAGCTCTTGGCATTTGAGGAAGGTTAGATTCAAGAAGGCCCAGCAAAAATGAAGGAAAAGAAAATTGGAGAAGGCAATCTCTTCTCTTCCTCTCTCCCCACTCTACTCCACCAAAGCTACTTATTGTTGTAACGTAAGCGAGCCCAAGACAAGAAAGGGCTCCTTTCGCAATTCTCCTGCCTTTTCTCAAGCCTCGGCTAGAAGCCCCTTCCCCTGCCCGTGCAGGCAGGGCAGTTCAGATAACCGTTCTGTGGGGAAGCCATGCCTGAGCACCCCAGTCAGAGGGAGAATGTGGTCTCGATGGCTATCCAACATGCATCTGATTTTTGTGGTCACTGAGTTGTGGCATCAAACAGATCTGGGGCTGAATCCAAAGTCCACTACTCGTGAACTCTGTCTACCTAAAGAATGACATCACCTCTCTCAGTTCTCTCATCTACAAAATAGGGTTAGTAGTTGAACACGGCTCATAGGGATAACCTGAGGATTAAGTGAAATTAAGATGATTTATATTAAGCACCTGGTGCTTGGCACAAAGTAAGGGCTCAGTAAATGTTGAGTGTTACTATTAGGGTCTCTTACATAGGTATTTGTCTCTCACTCAGAGGAGCCCCATGAAGCTCCAGTTAGTGAGTTTTACTCCCAAACACTCAGCACAAGTGCCCTGCCTACAGCATTCAACGGACTTTTTTTTTTTTTAGATTTTATTTATTTGACAGAGAGAGACACAGCCAGAGAGGGAACACAAGCAGGGAGAGTGGGAGAGGGAGAAGCAGGCTTCCTGCCGAGCAGGGAGCCCGTTGTGGGGCTCAATCCCAGGACCCTGGGATCATGACCTGAGCCGAAGGCAGACGCTTAACGACTGAGCAACCCGGGCGCCCCTCAACGGACATTTTTTAAACCGAATAATCAGCAAATGTGCTTCTCCCAGGAATGTATGCATCTCAAGATACAAACACCTAATGGCAGGTAAAACCTAGCATGTGCTCAAATAATTGTGGATGAACAAATGGAGGAAAATGTTCCTTGAACAGGGCCTTTTACTATTCTAGGACTCATCCTATCTTAGAGTCTGGGTGAGCTACACAGAATTAAGACACGGTGTTGTGTGCGGTCTTCCTAAAAAGCAGAGTTATTACTGTGAGGAAAGGTGCCGGCTGGCACAGGGATTATTTAAATCCTCAAGAGGGAAACTCCCTGTCTCCTGACCTGGCTGCTAAGTTCTTTAAGGGCAAGAGCCCTGATTCAATACATGCTTCGACTCCTCATAGCTCCTGGCAAAGTGATGCCACACAGACCATGCTGAGATATTTGATGTACACTCTATACAGTTGCTTCTTACAGCTCCTTCTCCTAAGCCCATTTATTCCCAAATTTCTTACAGAGGTATCCTAAAAATTCAGGATGCCAAATAAAGGAAGGTAGGAAGATAAAGGACATACTGCAAAATACAAATCCAGTTAAGAAACGATTAAGAAATAAACCTGTTACAAACAAACAAACAACAAGAGTGGCAAGTGAAGTAACCCCCAGGCTTGTTAGCAGTCCAGAAGACTCCTGCCAGCTTTAACAGGCACCAGGCTCCCCTTCTCCCTGTGTCAGGTCAGAATGTCGGGCAGATGGAGAGACTGAGCTGGAGACGTCACCTGAGTCAACAAAGGCTTTCACAGGATGTCCATTCACTTTGCAGTTAATATAAAGCATCACCACTTGACCAAAACTTTCAGGAGCCTCTTCCATAGCTATTGTCATGTTTTCCTCAATGTTCTGTTGCCTGTAACAAACCAAAACCAAGTACAGTAAAATCATTATTTCCAGGAAGGGAAATCTGTTTCAAAGTCACAATATTAAAAACAGGCTTGGCTTTCTCTTCAACAAGGCGGCTGAGCGGCAGATGCAGAGATGCCGATCTTCGCGAAGACCCTGACAGGCAAGACCATCAACCTGGAGGTTGAGCCCAGTGACACCAGTGAGAGAATGTCAAAGCCAAAATCCAAGATAAGGAGAGCGTCCCACCTGACCAGCAGTGTCTGATTTTCGTGGGCAAACCGCTGAAGGATGGCCGCACTCTCTCAGACTACAATATCCAGGAAGAGCTCACCCTGCACTTGGTGCTTTGCCTGTGGGGTGGCACCATGGAGCCTTCCCTCAGCCAACTGGCCCAGAAATAAAACTGCGACAAGATCATCTGCCACCACTGCTTTGCTTGCCCACACTCCTGCGCTATCAACTGCCTTGGGAAGAAGCACGGCCACACCAACCGCCCGCACCCCAAGAAGGCCAAATAAGGCCCCTCCCATCTGCTCCTCCTTTGCCTGCAGGGCAGCCTCCTGCCTGAGCCCCCAAGGCCTTGGAGCCTCCATGCTTTCCCTTTCACAGACTGGAGGGAAAAAACCCCAACAGAGCTGTACACCTCTTTTGCCCCTGTTACGGCAGCTGAGTCATGGAAATGGAAACCGGTCTCTTGGGCAACAGGTGAGGCAGAGATGCAGCCGGCAGAAAATCGAAAGGCATACACATGGCTTTCTCATGCCAAACAGTTCTGCTCCCTTTATGAGCTCAGACACAGGAAGATAAACCTCTGGAGAGTAAGGGTCACAACCTTTCAATTCTGTAGAATGCGAGAATTTCACGAATGCTTCAATTTTAACGGGGGATTTACTGGGTATCTGGGTACATTTCCTATGCCCAGTGCCTTAGAAATAGTTGGCAAATGCAATACATGGGTGTTAACTGTGCTGTGTCTCTGCTTAACTCCCGAGACTGGGTTTTCTACCTGTGAGGGAGGTGACGACCCCTGCTGTAGTGCGGCTACGAGGCGGAGAGCATCTAGAACACGGTGATGGCACAAGCGCAGATGCCCAGCCAATGCGTGCGTCTCTCTAGTTACCGCTGTCACTTAGAAAACCACACACACGCACACATCACAGCTCATGTGGTCCGTCAAACCGTTCCTTCAAACATCAAACATACTCTAATTCCCACGTGAGAAAAGGATATAAAAGAGGGTTCTAGCTTACTCCAACATCTCATGCCTTCATTCCCAACCTCCTCCTGAAAACCTGTGCCTCGGATAAACCTCACTGGCTACGCCGCCGCCACTGCGCAGTTAGCGAACACTACGGACGTTAGTGGGAACGAGGGCAGGGGCTGCGCGACGTGCCTGAAGCCTGAGACACGAACGGACAGGGCCCCAGACTGGGGATAAACTACAACCACAGACCGCCACCCGTTTGTGCAGACAAACTTCTACGGGAGCGCAGCTGCACGCTCGCTTCTGGGCTGTCGCATTACGTATGGCCGCTCCAGTACCAGCACTGGCTTAAGCCAGCCTCGCGACAGAGACAGCGGGGCCTGCAAACCCTAAAATAGTTCCTCTCTGGCTGACCCTGCTCTAACTTGTAGTGCCTGTCCTTTTCGTAGTAATACTCTACCTCAACTGAACTCATGATTTTATCAGCCATTCTCTAATAATACATGAAACTTTCCAGGAAATCAAAGGCACACTTGTTCAATTTAGTCAGGGAAATATGCAAGCTATTCTACCCCAGTGTACATATACCCTGAGTAATCACTGGTGCAGCGAACCAAATAAAACTTGAGGAGGCATCTGACAGAATTACACAGCTTTTCTCTTATGCCACATTCGTAAATTTAGAAATGAACTAAAATTAGTTGTACACTCCTGACCTTGCATTGACTGCAACCAAGATAAATTTCAGCAAAATCAGATTCTGAGATAATACCAGTCACTCTGGCTATTCTGGGCCCTATATGTCGAGAGTCTCTTGAGAGGCACAAGGTCTTCTTTTTTTAAGAGTGTACACATTACCCTATTTCCTTAATCTCCCCTGGCCCCCCCATGGGCCACACGAATATGCCTCATCTCACTGCCACTCTGCCCGCAGGGCAGGTCAGGGTTTGGCCACGATGCCTCTCCACTCTCCCTCCCACTTTCTGGGTTGAACACGTCTATTCTTGAGAATTATGTCAGGTTCCCTTAGAGCTGCAGTGGGGTCTAGTTCAGAGAACACAAATTTCTTCCTGTTTCGCTGGGTAGATTTAACTAGTGAGATGCTTTTTCAAAGATATTCATATACTAATATACTGATGCAATTAATGGGGGCACTTCATCAACAAGAACACGAATGGCTTGGAGCTGACAACCGATTCTGACATACAATTTAAATTTCCCTGATTTCAAATGTAGTTAGAGAAACAAGAAATAAAATAACCGCTGTAAGGTTCCAAGCTGACCGTATAATATAATGACCAAGTTGGGCTTCATTCGAGTAACAAAAGATTATGACAACGAAGAACATAGTTCTTCTTAGTTATACAGCAGTCCCCCCTTCTCTGCAAGGGATACATTCCATGACCCCCAGGGGATGCCCGAAACCACAAAGAGTACCAAATCCTATACATACTATGTTTTTTCCTGTGTATACATACCTATGATAAACCATTTATCAGTGGAGCATAGTAAGATAGAAGCAACAATAATAAAATAATTATAATATCCTGTAATAAACATGTGAATGCGGTCTCTCTCAAAACATCTCATTGTACTGTACTCACCCTTCTCATGATGATGTTAGGTGATAAAATGCCTACGTAATAAGATGAAGTGAGGTGAATGACAGAGGTTTTGTGACGTGGTATTAGGCTACCACTGATCTTCTGATCTATCTGCTTCTGGACTACAGTTAACCGCAGAAAACCGAGATGGTGGATAAGGTGGGGGAAGAACTAAGGCCTTAACCATTCGCAACAAAAACTGAATGGGGTGGAGGGATAGGAAGCTGTTCCTTCATTCTAAGGGACTGGAGAGCATCTTGCTCATGACCAGAAATGTGGCCCAGGCTGGCCTTAGCATCACTGTACCTGCCCTGGCCCCACCTCTTAAGATTCTGATCTAGCAGATTTGGGAGTGAAGCACAAGCATCTTCATTTTTAAAGCTTCTTTTGTGATTTTAACGTAGCCCCACGTGAGAACAACAGCGTTAGAGACGCTGGGGCTGGAAAAGTGTCCGGCAGGCAGTTTATCCACTGAGGCCAGGGCAAGAACTGCAGGAGGAGAACAGACTCAGGACTACAGGGTTCCATCTGTCCAGAGCTCTCTCTAATTCAATCATGCTCAAGCCCGGGTTTAATTAGGGCTCCCGCGTTATGTCTAAGGACTCAGATTCCAGTCAGGCAGCCTAACAGTCTCACCAAGCTGAGGCTTCTGCTCAGCCCCGGGGTCATCTACCTGCAGCTGCTTTGATGGTGCACTGTGGGCTGGTCCTGGAGTTTTCATTCAAGTTTTAGAAGAGAAAGCCATTGAGTTAGGTTTGTAATGTTGAATCAACATGCGGGGAAAACAGAAGAGGAGAGAATGACCGAAAAGGCTGACGCTGCGCTCAGATACAAAACAAGGACGCTGCTTCAGAGCAGACGCCCAACTGATACCGGGTCACCTGTGCGTCACCTGTCATTCGGGAACTCTGGATTCTCTAAAGCTCGCTCTTCAGGTAAAGGGTCATTACCTTATATCTTCTTCTATTTTTGCCTGAGCTTCAAGATCAAAAGGGTCGGCAGCAAAGAGACGAATCCTTTCTTGCTCTCTCCGGGCTCGGTCCTGCTGCTGCTCCACCAGGACCCTAGAAAATTTCTCTACAAAAATAAGGGGGAAAGTCTTCAGTACCACCCCATTTCCGTTCTTTATTAGTACGTTTCCAGATCAAATCGTTTCTCAAGATACAACTGTGAAGAGATGCAGAAAGGAACCCTAAGAATTATTTTAAGTGAGCAATTACATTTACTTGCTATTTTCTGAGGCAAGACGACGTCACCCAAATTTAGTATAAGGACATCAAGTCTTGGCAAAAATCATTTCTTCCTGTAAGGAGTTATCCATCGTATTGTTTCTACCCAGAGATAACAACACTTGGACTGAAATCAGCGGGAATGACTATCTGTGTGGCAGGTAAATGGCTGCACTACTCTCCTCCCCGGCCGCTCTTATGAACCTGCTACCTAGAAATAAAACAGAGCACGACAACAGGGAATGTAGTCAACGGTACTGTAATAGCATTTGTGCGGTGACAAATGGTGCGCCTGGGGTGAGCACAGCATAAGGCACAGACTGGATGAATCACTATGTGGTACACATGGAACTAGGGTAACACCGTGTGTCAACTACAGTTCAATTAAAAAACAAAAGTCAAACAAAAAAACAGTGCACTACAACCCTGTTTCTCCTCTTCTAGTTTCATTCCCTTTATAACACCCTCTGCCTTAAGCCAGGTAAGTTAAATGCAAACTACTGTTAGCCTACCTAGCTAACGTGATGAGTAATAGGGAAATGAGTAAAGAGAAAATATTGCTTGCTTTAAAATGTATGTTACAAGAATCACCTTAATTTTGCTATTTCTTAAATGGGGGTGCATATAAGTGTATAAACGTAAACATGTCATCATTGTGGTCTTTGGTGACTAGATCTGCTACATAAGAAATTAAAGACACCAAAATAATGGTCATAGGAACTATTAATACACACACCATGAATGAATCTAAAACACATTAAGTTGAGCAAAAGAAGCCTGACATCAGAGAGGACATAGTATATGATTCCATTTATGTGAAGATCAAAACCATGATTATCAGAATGGCAGTAGCCCGTAACTGACTTGTTGCAGAGAATATACTGGAACTTCTGGAGTGAGAAAAATGTTCTGTATCTTGACTAGGGTGGTGGCTACATGAGTTTGCCAAAACTCAGTGAACTGTATACTTAAAATCTGTGCATTTCTGTTAGGTAATTATTACCTCGATTTTAAAAATGGTCAACTGAAGAATGAGCTATTAAGTGTCTGTTATATTTTAAAATTTAATCAGTACCATTTCATAAGCCCAAGAGTAAAACTAGAGAAATTTACAGAGAAAAACTTTATTCATGAAGCTGACTAAAAATAAGCGTTCTGTTTAATGTAAGAATGGCTCAAATACAGCTCCAAGCAAACTGTTGGCAACAACCCCACTCTCATTAAACTTGGGGCGGGTGAAAATAAAGGGGTTGGGTTCCATTTTCCCATACAGGCTGATGGCACTGGACATGTTTTCTGTAACTAAAAGCATTTCACCTGGCAGCAAGCTGGCTTACTAGCGCACTCAGACTGAGGGTTTAACTAAACAGGTTAAAATATCAGCACCTAGATTATGCACTGTGAAAATAATTTGGAAAAAAAAAAAGTCAGTGGAAGGGGCTGGCCAAGCTGGATTTCAGAACTCTACGCAGTTGTAAAATTCTCTCTCTACTGCCAATCGACTCAGAGAGCAACCTAGAGAGCAACAGGTAGGTGCAAGAAACCATGTGACGCGGTGGGTCGAACACACCAGTTGCTCGAGTTTCTCCACACACACCGCGACAGGACTGCTGCCCCTCAGGTCAGCTTGACAGTCTTCCGTATTTATAAGCTTACCAAGGTCTCCACTGAGCAGAGCATCTGCCAGGGGCGGATTGCGTTCCTTCAGCAAGGACAGCTCATGGGGGTTGGCCAGCAACATGTCTCGGAGCAAGGCTGGATTGTCCAAGCCCTGAGGAGATGAAGCTATGTCTCCAGGAGATGAGTGGGACTGCTGTGCTCCTGGTGGCTGGCGCTGCCGGGAGCCTGACGTGCCAGGCACGGCTATACTACGGAAGTCTATTCGGGGTAAGTCTGTTGGGGAAAATCGGTTCAAAGTTTACTTCCAGTGACTCCATAAAAACAAGCATTTGAAGGGAACAGCGGAACATATGCTGGTACATGGCATGTAGGAAATGGTAACTGCAGACATTTGACCCTTCCCCTGCTCTCTCTCTCAACTGACTGAATATAAAGACAGCAGTCCGAGAGAACCCACAGGTAAGAACAGAAAAGGGGTGCTGACAATGGTAGTAATCCTAGATTTTTGGCTCATACACTATCCCAGAAGAGATGACAAGTTTTTACTTATTTGTGTGTGTGTGTTTTCAAGATTTTATTTATTTACTTGACAGAGAGAGACACGGTGAGAGAGGGAACACAAGCAGGGGGAGTGGGAGAGGGAGAAGCAGGCCCCCCGCCGAGCAGGGAGCCGGATGTGGGGACTCGATCCCAGGACCCTGGGATCATGACCTGAGCCGAAGGCAGACGCTCAACGACTGAGCCACCCAGGTGCCCCTACTTATTTGTTTTTAAAACATTAAAGTTAGTCTCAATATACATAATCACATAATTCTGGATGTAATTCTTGAGAAAAATCCCAGTCCACTTTGACATGTTTCAAAGAGCCTGCACGCCTTAGGTAAAGAATACTATACAAACCAAGGGAACTGCATCAATTTTAGATGTAAAATTCTACAAATCTCTGCTAAACACATTCATTCTTGGAATTTACACTTTCACTCTGTGCATCACTGCTAACTCTTACACCCCTGGGGAGCTAGCAGGTATAATCATTTTACAGGAGAGACAAACAGAAGAAAAGTAACATGCTCAGGTTCTCAGTGCTGAGGTCACCAAAAGATAGAACAGATTTAGAGGCTACAACTCCCAGGTTCTATAATCCAGGCTGAGCTGACCTTATTAAAATGAAAGGAAAATAAAAGGGAGCCTTACACAAAGGACCCACATATTGTATGATTCCATTTATATGAAATGTCCAGAATAGGAAAATACACAGAGACAGGAAGTAGACTGATGGCTGCCTAGGGCCAGGAGGCTTGGAGGCAGATGGGGAATAACTGTTAATAGGTAGAGTTTATTTTTAAGGTGATGAAAATGTGCTACAATTGATTGTAGTAATGGCTGCACAACTTGGAATATACTAAAAATCAATGAACTGTACCCTATAAATGAGTGAATTGTATGGTATATGAATGATATCTCAATAAAGCTATTACTTAAAAAGGAGTTTTACCTTAGCAAAGAAAAAGTAGAGCAGAGCCAGAATGGGGGGCTAGAACTGAGTGAATCTGCATCTCCTCAATCCCAAAAATGTATCTGATGGTCACTCCTGTCCCAAGTCTGAGGCCATGCTGAAGCTTATGGGACATCAATAGAAGAAGGGAATCCTTAAATTCCTTAAATTCAGTTTCTGCCTCTTAGCACGGGTTCAAACTAGACACTTTCTTCAAACGGACCTGAGCCGGCAGCTAGTAAATGTGTATGTGTGCGTGTACGTGTATGAGGGAGTTAATCTATACCAACCAGCAAAACACAGGGGCGGGCCTTCTCTGTGGGTCAAGAAATTTTATCTCTAGCCCTGTTACACTTATCTTGAGAGTCCATTCGCTTCAGAGTAATTCTGAGAAACCGGTTTACCTGATAGAAGAGATCACCTCCCCTCCCCCACCTGCTGGCTCTCTTGTCCACATGGGACAGTACAGAAAAAACAAAACAAAACAAAAAAACAGTGAATCTCCAGAACTAACAATTTCACCAAATTAACCAAAGGAAGACTTGGTTTTTGTTGACTGGCACGTTCGAATCACAACTCTTTCTCAAGTTTAACAGTAGCCCGGAGGGACTCGTGTAACCCCGACCTGGGAGGAACAGTGCATGATGGTCTCTTACAGCCCCAGTCTCAGGCTGACTAGAAACTCGTGTTCTAAGCTGGAGTGTATCATCCTCACCCAGACACCCGTCAGCTGTTACCACAAACTATAAAACCAGCCAACCTAAAGACTAAACACTGTTTAAAGAAATCTATCTGAAAATAGCAGGGAATGGAAAACACTATTACATTTCATCAAACAGTTCCACCTCAGAACCTTGTCAACTTTCTACAGATCATGAACCCCTCTGAGTATCTGAAGAAAGCTACAGATCCTCTCCCCATTAAGTGCACATGAGCTCACAGCCACGCAATTCTGTGATTATTTCAGGGACACAGAAATGTTCTAAATCCCAATGCACAGATTCCAGATTATAAACACCTCATCTGGATGGAACATCAACATAGACAACAGCTTCCTTTCATGTGATTAACACGGCCAGTGGGGAAGGAACAGAATTTGGTGGTCCGGCTGCTTAATGCTCCTAAAGCTCAGTATAATGGAAAAAGTACCACATTTTTGTTCCCATGCCCTTACTTATTAGCTATGTAACACTGAAGACATTACTTAAAATCAGAGCTTCATCTATTAGTGGTAACAAATCATAAAGAGGAATCTCTTCCCCCACAACAGTGATGAGCCCCATGCAACGTGGGTACAAACGCCTGGCTGACTGCTCCACACAGGCCTGCTAGCCGAGGGCCGGACACGGAGTAGCAAAAGTTAGTCAGGAATCACAGGCAGAGGTGGCCTCCGAGGTCCTTCCCAAGGATAAAGTTATTATTGATAACAACGGAAGCAAACACTTATCGAGGACATGCTGTGTGCCAAAGGTTGCACGTGCACTATTCCCACAGCCTATCCTACAGCTGGTGATGAACCGGACGTAGGGAAGTTAATGCATCCAAGGTTACAAAGCAACCAAGGGGCAGTCAGAGCCTGTCCCCTGCACTCTGAACCCGAAGCTAGTCCACAGCTCTGGCCCACCGTGTTACGCCCTCTCTCCTGATGCTGGTGTCAGGATGTCTTACTTGGGAACTGCACTGGAGGTCGAGGGTCGGCGTTCTCCTTCTGCCGTAAAATCACAACGTCCCCATCTTTCAAGCCGTAGGAAGCCAGCGATCTGTGGTTGTCTGTGAGTGGTCTTTCAGCATAGACAATCTACAACCAGAAAAGATTGCACGGTAGAAAGCACTGAGAAGTAACATGGCACAAAGCAGGAAGACTACGTACAACGTCCCTTTTCATCTGATTATCAGTCCCTGCTCAAAACCCCCCAGTGGTTTCCTATCACACCTGGAATAAAAGCCCAAGTCCTTCCCATTACCTACTAGGCCCAAACCATTTGGCCCCTGGCTCTCCCTCTGACTTCATCTCATACTGTAATTGCTGTTCCCCAAATAACATGATCAATTTCCCCCTTGGGACTGTTTCACTTGCTCTTCTCTCTACCTAAGGAATGTTCTTTTCCCAGTCATCTCTTTTTTAAGTAGGCTCTGTGCCCAATGTGGGGCTCAAACTCACGACCCTGAGATCAAGAGTCGCACGCTCTGCCAACTGAGACAGCCAGGTGCTCCCCAGTCATTTCTTTTAAGGTCTCTGATCAAACATTACCTTTTCAGAGCCCTTCACTCATCATTCTATTAAAAATATACCCTCATCTCTCATATTATAAATCTTTATTGTGTTTCTGCCCCACTAAAATGTAAGCTACTTGGGGACAGGATTTTGTTTTGTTCTCCGTATCTCAAATGCCTTGTGTGTGTGGGTGTGTGTGTGTGTGAGATGAGAACTTCTAACATTTACTCTCCTAACAGCTTTCAAGTACGTGATACAGCACTGTTAATTACAGTCACCAAGCTGGACATGACATCCCTGTGTGTCCACCTTTAAATGATCCTGCACACTGGCAAGTCTACAAGTTTTCCAAATACCACCCGTTCTGCATCCTTCCTTCTCTTCTACCATTCCCAAAGTTTGGTCACACTTATGAGTGGAAGACGAAAGGGGAAGAAATTCAGAAAAGAACAACTAAACACAGATGGCAAAAAGCATCATGGATGTACTACTACTACTAATATTTTTACGAGATGCAATCAAACACTGAAGAAAACCTGACAGCAGAAAAGCAGATGAAACACCACGCTGCAGAAAGCAAAGGCACAAAGAGCATAGGGTAATTTTACCATGAAGGAACATAAAACCTACCCTGAGCTATCACATACTCCAGAGGGGCATTCAGAATAAACTCAGGCTTTGAAAGGTTTTTCTCCCTAATGATTTGCTTTGCACCAGGCCACATGCAAACTGAGGAGCCTGAGTCCTGTCCTGGCTCTGACGGTGGCCGTGTCACTCAGCTGGTCCAGGCTTCACATTCCCCATTTGTCAAGCAAGCAGTTGGGACTGGAGAATCACTACAGCTGTCCCTTCCAGGTCCTCCTGCTCCACTACCATTTTACAGCGTTTCCTCATGCGTCCTCAAAGCTTTCATAGTAAGACTGCCTGACACAGAACCTGAAAAATACAGGATTTATACTTGGAAAAAGTATCTGTCACATCTGCTCGCAGAATTTGCACTGATGTGAGGAACAGAACAGGAAACCGAATTTCCAAAACCAAATACTTCTGGGGATGCACAAAAAAACTGATTTCAGAGTATGTAGGGCTGACGATACTTTGTAAGTTCTCTACGTGACTAGAAAATGTAATGTTAGGGGCACCTGGGTGGCTCAGTTGTTAAGCGTCTGCCTTCGGCTCAGGTCATGATTCCAGGGTCCTGGGATCGAGCCCCACATCGGGCTCCCTGCTCACCAGGAGCTTGCTTCTTCCTCTCCCACTCCCCCTGCTTGTGTTCCCTCCCTCGCTGTCTCTCTCTCTGTCAAATAAATAAATAAAATCTTAAAAAAAAAGAAAAAAAGAAAATGTAATGTTAGTTCTTACCCTCAACCTACAGAGTTCAAACATGTTACAACAGACTGCAACTATCATTCCCTCAATCCATTCACACTCTTATTCTCTGTTATTTAAGCACATATCACACAATAAAGGTACAAGAGAATCAACACAGACTGTTTGCAATAACCACCTCAGAGTCGTACCATAACTTGTGGGATTGTCGGGAAAACTACTAGAAATCTGAAGTGACAAGTGTCCTGGGTTGAGGTGTACAGCAAGAAGAGGCAAGCCAAGAGAAACGCCACGCAGGCAGCTCTTACAAGGCGGCAGCGACACTGTGAAGCCACCACAATGAAGGGACCACGTGGTCCATGGCCCACTCCTTAATTTTCCAGGTTCAGAAACTCAATTATCTGTATATTTAGAGATACAGTCTGACACATTCTAACTGTACTTATAAAAGAACATTTATCTACAATAGGAAATCAACCTCAGGAGCATTTTGATGCTCCTGTCCACCAGATCGCTGAAATCTCTTCAGCCTGAAGGGCCACAATAAAACACTACCATTGCGTGCACTTCTATCACAATGGGTTCTCACGGTCTCCCACTTACCAACAGCCTCTCATTGAATTGTCAATCATTTTATGAGGTGGGCCTTATTTGTCCCATTTTATGGACGGGGAAGCAGATACAGAGAGTTCGGTGACCTGAGACCACACAGCTATTAAGAAGAGAACTATGACTGGAACCACGTCTGCCTGACTATAGAGCCCATATATAATCTTCCCTAAGGACCACATATAACTTCCCCAGTAAGTCCAAAGTGGACTGGTGAATCAGCTGGTGACCTGAACAAGAGCTATAAAGCCGTCCAATAAGGGCCTATACTAACCAGGGGGATGCAAACCCTATCCACTGCTCACTGTAACCCCTGCCCCGAACACTAGCAACTTCTCCCTCTTTGGACTCCCACCTTGTAGACGCTGTATGTCACTCCACAGTGTTAGTTAACACAGTCTTTCCTCAGCAGACAATATAATTTTTTTTTTAAAGTAAGACAGCCTCATCTAACAATAAGATCCAGGTAATAACTACCACCAAACCATACATGAAATGTGGAATATTGCTATCTGCCCCATTTCCTAAAAATACTAGACTGGAAAATGTGGGTGAGGAGCAAACATCTTTCACACTGACAAAGCAGCGGGCGTACTCCATTTTAGTCAAGGACACAAAGGAGATAAACAAAAGCTTAACCGAAATTATAACTGCCACAAAGAAATGATTTCTTTTTGTTAAAACGGGTTTAAAAGTCTAAGAAAGACAATGATTTTATAACTTAAGTCCTAGAATACAACTGAATGAGCTTCCAGCCTAATAGAAGTGTATTAGACCAATGGTTTCAGATTTCTACCGGTCAAAACAAAATGAGTTTCAGTAGTAGCACTGGTGATACTTTCTACTAGAACACCCAACTCAAAGGCCACAAAGCTAAAAATTCTAGTTTTGCCAGTTATAAAACATACAACAGGAAAACTGATACTGCTGCAAGTCTTTAGGTGCAGCACTGGTCCACCTGTAAGGACTTATTCTAGACGAGGTGCCCTCCGGACAGAATTCTCCTCTTAGTCAACATTCAACAATAGTCTAATTAAAACAACTCCGGGATCTTTAAGCATGATGTCAAATGTTTTCCGGTCTCTGAATGAGAGCCTTCAATCAACAGAAATCGTAACAATACATTTCTAGCTGTAAGGACCAGACACTGGCCACAAAATCTTTGGACTCACATGTGAAAGGCTACATCATAGTATCTACCGTTAATCGAAAGCCTACTATATGCCAAGTGATCTACATACACTATCGCAACAGCTTGACTTTTCCAACCTTCTGGAAAACAATTTGGCAACAGTTACTAAAAGCCTTTCAAAAGACCTGGCAATTCCATACCTAAGAATACATCCTGAGAAAATAATCAGAAATGGGGACAAGGCCTTAAGTATATAGGTAGCCATGGAAATGTTACTCATAACTGCTTCCAATTTTCCCCAATTCAAATGCCCAGCAACAGGGAAATTGTTAAATAAATTGTAGTACATCCACAGGATGGTATATGATATGGCCATTAAAATGATAAATTTGAAGAATATGAAATGCGATGGGAAATGCTGACAATGTAGTGTTGACGCAACAAAGAAAGTTGAAACTGTTAGTATAGTTCAGGGCATCGTGTTTAAAAGACACATATGGGGTGCCTGGGTGGCTCAGTCATTAAGTGTCTGCCTTTGGCTCAGGTCATGATCCCAGGGTCCTGGGATCGAGCCCCACATCGGGCTCCCTGCTCAGCGGGAAGCCAGCTTCTCCCTCTCCCACTCCCCCTGCTTGTGTTCCCTCTCTCGCTGTGTCTCTGTCAAATAAATAAAACCTTAAAAAAAAAAAAAATATATATATATATATATATATATATATGGGGAAGTAAGCTTAGAAAAAAAATACACTAAAATGTAAACTGCAGGGGTGCCCGGGTGGCTCAGCTGGTAAAGCATCTGCCTTCGGCTCAGGTCATGATCCCAGGGTTCTGGGATCCAGTCCCACGTCAGGCTCTCTGCTCAGTGGAGAGCCTGCTTCTCCCTCTCCCCTCTGCTCGTGCTCTCTCCCACGCCATCTCTCTCTCTCAAATAAATAAATAAAATCTTAAAAAAAAAAGTAAACAGCAGTTATTTGAGGGTTATGAGGTACTAACTTACTGTCCTTATCTTTTCCTGCAAGTTACAAATTCTCTATAACGAATATGCAGTATTTATCAGGAAAAAAAATACAAGAAAATTACCTGTAAAATAAACATGTCAAAACCAGCTACAATAGAAAATTTCAGTCTCTACTGATTTAAAATAGTGTTTTACAAACCACAAATCATGCTGTGTACAGAGCTGCTTTTCCAGGATCATACAGTCACTGCTATTATTTGGTATTTAAATATGCCTTTCATTTGAGAGTCCTTACACATTCTGCACACGTCTTTACCACATGCCACCTACAGGGGTAAATTATAATGATGTTTCAAAAATACAAAGACATTAATTTAAAGTGAAGCTAAGTTCTGATAATTCTTTGAAGTTTGCCCGGCCAAGTCTGCATCAAAGTATCAGAGCCATGACTGGCTTCCAAGCCCACACTTGTATTAAGAGATGGAACATGCCCAGCTTTAATCACATGTACAGAGAAAGTTTCTAGTCTAAATTTGTTATCGTCACATTACAACTACTATAATCAGACTAGAGCTGTTAAAAATTAACACCTTTTCCAAGTGCATACTTATGCACAACTGATGCTGATGTGGAAGACTGAATTCTAAACTAGTGATCCTCCATGTGGGGCAGGCATGCAAAGCAATTCTTTAAACATGAAGGAACAGAAAAACATTAGAATTTTCATTTCCATTTATTTTAGTTCATCCTTCCTTAAATTCTATCCTATGGCTGTTCATAATGTACATAAGGTATTACTTCATGTATATTACATAATTGATGTTTCCAGTTATATACATATACGTGCATATATATAAAATGCATATCACATTCATTCATAATGTTTGTAACTTTTTATATATCACAAAGATGTGTGTTCCAAAACATTTTACTCAGAGGAATACATAACCAAAAAAGTTTGGAGATTAGTGGTGGAGATCTTGACAGGAAAGAATAGCCAGGAACATTAAAAAAAAAAAAAATCCCTTTAAGAAGGTAAATAAGAGGAGTGAGGTAAAGAGACCAATAGAACTGTGAGAGGGAGAAAGGGAAGATGAGTCATAGGGGAGAACCTGGGAGGTAAAAGGGTGGGAGAGGGGGCCTCAAGTAAGTGATATTTTTGTAGGTAAGAACTATAATGATGCTTACTATTATGATTTGGTGAACGGAAATGACTCAAGTGTCTAGGGTGGATCCTGTTCCTGCCTGATGGACAAACAACTGAAAAGACAACCGACCACCAGACATCTTAAAATAGATACTGTGTTAGGTTACAATGGAGCCAATGGAACAAACTTGAAACGCAGGAGCTGTTTAAGGCTCTATTAATACAGGGTTCACAGTACTTGGAACCCGGTTTTGCACATGCTAATTTGGCTTGGGAAGGAAGTAAATGCCCAAAAGGTGACCTAAGGAATAAGAAAGAAATCTGGAGTTAGCCTAATTGTTCAATTAGTGAGGTACTCCTCACAGCCTGAGCTGTGTCAATCTGACACACTCTTCACTTAAATTTTGTTACAGCCCATCTCAAAAAGGGTAGAAATTGAGGCAATGTCAATCTTCATCTCCCAAGTCCTAATAACAACAAAATCAACTTACATCTTAATTTTTTATTTCCCCCACCAGCTGGTGATTACAACCAGGGTAACAGAAAAGCCACCTTCAAGTATTTAAGAGTTGAGTGTACCTCCCTACCTAAACTGTCCTTTCCTAGCTCTCCACTTGAGGGATTCACTGACAGGAACTGGTTCCTCAGATTTTGTGGATTAGCTGTTTATAGAAAAAGGTGCAAATAATCCCTTTTACCAATTTCTTTGTATCTTTCATCAGTCTGCCTATTTGAGTGGCACTTTCCACCCTGAAACAAATTCTTTCTTGATATTCAGCTTTATGCCAAGGTTCTAAAGTTCACATACTGTAAAGGAATCATACTCACTTCTGAACAAAATATTGACGCATCTGTTTACCATAACACAGGGCAGAACACGCTGTAGTTGGGCAATAGTTTTTGGAACTATTTCATAACTGCAGTAAGAAATCAAGATTTACATTCTGGGGCCTTGGAGGACTTCTATAATTTTCTTAATGTTTAGACCATGTCCTCCAAGGTCTACTTATCAAGTTAAGATTTAAATGTTTTAGTGTGAAGGCCAGAGTTATCGTCACCAATTCTGTTTGGTGGCAGCCTCACGGCATTTTGAGAATAAATTACTTTGCTTATTTAAAATGTTAGAGCAGCTGAACTTCCTTCCAACAGGGTAGGGAAATGAAACAGGCAAATCACACAGAGAAGATACTAGGCCATTTTTACAAAAATATCCTCATAAAGCACTGAACTTTGAACCCATCCAAACTCTGAATTGTGGCCTGAAATAAAGAGGGATTCTGGCCTACTCCCAGCGAAGAAACCACAGAAACAACATGAATTGAACTAATAACTGCCATCCCTTGGGTGGGGGGGAGGGGGGTTGCTTTTTTTTTTTTTTTTTTTAAGAATTTAACCAGAAATGCCATGTGGTAGGGAAAAGGAAACAGGGCATTTCCAAATTCCTCAAAACAAGGTAATGCAAGTCTCAAAACTTTTTCCTTCACTCAGGAGTGCAAATCTCTACATTTAAAGGTAAATTACGTTTGCTTAAGCAGGAGCCCTCTCCAAAAAAGCCGATGCACATCAACCTACCACAGTGATCCAAACTGGTATTTCTGGTTGGGGAAGCAGGATGTATGAATTCCTGCAAACCTCGAGCTGCTTCTTCTATTCTACGGTTGTTCATAATGTACATAGGTCCACAACACCCCAAACTCGGGATTATTAAGGGAGAAAGGGCCAAAGAGCCAGAAGGTGGGGCGGGCCGCCCAACTGTCCACGCGCCCCTCAGGCTGCAGTGGGTGCGTCTGCGGTCAGGTTCTCCGCTCCCTCCCATGCATGGCACCCCACCCCACGCTCGGCGTGTGTGGGGGCAGCTACCGATTCCAGCTCCCTCCCGGACGCGGGGGCGAGCTGGGAGAGGCCACCCTGCTCCCCCACCCCCAATTCCTCACCAGTAGCAAAGGGAGGGCGTGAGACCCGCAGACAGGAGGGTTAGCCCCGGAGGGAGACCCCGCTCGCTGCCCGGCATACCTGGCTCTCGGCTGCGGGGATGCCGGACTCGAGCTCGCACAGCGCGCGGAAGTTGTGCAGCTCGAAGTCGGCGTCGACCTGGAGGGAAAAGGTCACCTCGGAGAGGTCCCTCCGCACACAGTACACGGTGAGCAGCATGGCCCGGGCCCGACCCAGCTCGGCTCGGCCCGGCCTCGGCGCTGGGCTGCGGGGCGGCGGCGGGGCCTGGCTGGAGCTGCGGGCGAACGGCGCGGGCTGCTCGCTCGCCCGCTTGCTCCTTCCCTCCCTCACACACGCTCAGTGACTCACTCCCTCCCGCCCTCACTACCAGGCACAGCAGCCGCCACCCGCCTGCAACTCCGTCTGCCTGCCTGCCGGCCTGCCTCCCACCGCTGCCGCCAAGCGCGCCAGCCGCCCAGCGCCCCGCCCCGCCGCAACGCGGCTGCCGTAAAGCTCGCCTCGCCCTCTCTGCCTTCGCGACGCAGAGAAGGGGCGGGCCGGGAAGAGCAAGCGGGAAGCCAGGAGAGGATTGGAGGGAAGCGAAGGCTTGGGAAGCCAGAGGGAGGAAGGGCGAGAAAAGGGGAGGGAAGGAAGGGAATGAGGGAAATCGATGAGTGAGTTAATAGACGAAGTCGGTGGCGGACACCAGGATCTCATTCACCCAAATGAGGCATTTATTAAGCGCCGACCACGTGGATACAAAAATGCGTAAAAACACAGGTCTTTCTTTGCCCTAAAGGAACTCTCACGCAACTAAGCAGAGTTCTAAAATGTATTTACCAAGTAGAAATTGAGGCTCAGGGAGATTAATTCACTTCTTGTCCCAATGATTTAGGGTTAAAACCAAAATCATGACCCTGCCTAGTCTATAGAACCGAGCTTACTCTGGTCCCTGCAGACTTCTCCAGACCTGCCTCCCAATCCCTTCCTGCACGCTGCCCACGCAACCACTTTGGGACTTTCGGTTCCTCCGAGGCTCCATTCCCCTGCCTTATAAAGTGTTCTCTCTACTTGGGACTGTCTCCTTCCTAGACCTAGCATGCCCCCAGCGCCTACTGCAGAGCCTTTATTGGGCACAGCTTAGAATCCACTCTATAAAGTATTGGCTACTTTAATGGCCTGTTCATGGCCACGTAGCTGATGACTGGACAGAGGCCCAGAGCATGAGGATAAGGTCAGAAAACCAAAACTGATGCAAGGGTGGCATCTCCCTACTTAACCACCGCCCAATTCCCCATCCGTGGAGTAGGGACCCCTCTTCTGGTATAACAGGAGGGAGGGAGGAAACACGATGGCTATGGATGCAGGTAAGTAGGTAGGTTTGGTGGCAAGAAAGTCAATGACCATCTGAAGACTTTTCTCTGAAAAGGATGGAAGGTCATCTGTGGAGAATAAAGAGAAAAAGTGGAGGAGCAGGGGGTGGAGAAGAGTGGTTGTATCAGCTACAGAAAGCCTATCAGTGATTTAAGCAAATAAAGGTTTATTTTTCTCACAGGATAGGAAGCCTGGAGGTAGACAGCAGCATCTGTTCAGTGACTCAATGATATCAGGGCCTGTATTTCTGTAAATATTTTGGCCTTTCCTGGAGGGTCACAATATGCCTGGCTGCCTCCACTCCATGCAGCATTTGTTGTTTAAGGCAAGAGCTTGGCCAGAAGTCCTGCAGCAGGTTTCTACTTACATCTCTCTGGCCAGGACAGTGCCACAGAGATGCAAGCAAGGCTAGGAAAGTGAGTGTTTAGCTTTTCTCACCTCTATAAAGGACATGGACAGGAGAAAAAAGTTTTGGGAACAGGTGTTAGGTGAAACCTACATAGTCTACTACAGCAGAGAATATTTGAAATATCCATTGCAAATTGAAGCAAGTTGAACAGAGAAATGATGTAGAATTGTCAGGTGGTGTTAAGGATTCAACTGAGGTTGGAATCACGAATTGATTAATTTTTCTGTGTTACATCTTTTTTCTAGTGGTGCTCATGTGCCCGGGTGTGACAGATTTTATTTTCCAAAGATGGCCACGATAATATCTCCTATCTTACATGTTCTTCTTACAATGTGACCGTAACATTCCTCCTATTGAGAGATGGGGTGTATGTCTCTCCATTTGAATCATGGCTGACTGACCCTGGTATAAACGTCATTGTGTGACTTCTGAGGCTGGGTTATAAATGGCAATATAGCTTCTGCCTGGCTCTCTGGGAACACTTGGTCTTAGAACCCAGCAGCCATGCTGTGAGGAAACCCAAACCACATGGAGAGAACATGTGTGGATGTTCCAGGCAACAACCTAGATGAGATCAAAGCCAATTCCTAGGAAAACCACAAAAGATACTTGCAGTTTGTTTCAACCCCAGACATTGAACCATCTCCAGCATCTGGGTCTTTCCAGCAGAGGTCTCAGATGACATGGGGCCATCTCCACTGTGCTCTTTTTGAATCCCCAACCCACAAATCTGTGAATATAATACAATGATTATTTTGCATGACTAAGTTTGAGGTGGTTTGTTACAAAGCAACAATAAATGGTACACTGAATACAGTCTCTCTTTATATATGTATAAACATATATATGTACACACACATGTATATGTGTATATATATACATAAATGTATACACACATATCACATCTTTATCCATTCATCTATCAACGGACACTTGGGCTGCTTCCATAGTTTGGCTGTTGTGTTTTTTTTTTTTTTTTTAAGATTTTATTTATTTATTTGGGAAAGAGAGAGAGACAGCATGAGTGGGAGGGGAAGAGGAAGAGAGAGAGAATCTCAAGCAGAGTCCCCACTGACTGTGGAACCCAATATGGGGCTTGATCCCAGGACCCTGAGATCATGACCTGAGCCGAAACCAAGAGGTTGATGCTTAACCAACTGTGCCACCCAGGTGCCCCCATAGTTTGGCTATTGTAAATAATGCTGCAACAGACATAGGGGTGCATGTATCCCTTTGAATTAGTGTTTGTGAATTTTTTGGGTAAATACACAGTTGTGTGATTACTAGATTGTAGGGTTGTTCTATTTTTCCTTTTGAGGAACCTCTGTACCATTTCCCACAGTGGTTGCACCAGTTTGCATTTCCACCAACAGTGCAAGAAGTTTCCTTTTTCTCCACATCCTTGCTAACACTTGTTGTCTCTTGTTTTTGATTTTAGCCTTTCTGACAAGTGTGAGGTGATATCTCATTGTGGCTTTGATCTGCATTTCCCCAATGATGAGTGATGTTGAGCCTCTTTTCATGTGTCTAATTGGCCATGTGTATATCTTCTTTGGAGACATGTCTGTTCATGTCTTCTGCTCATTTTTTAATTGGGTTATTTGTTTTTTGGGTGTTGAGTTGTATCAGTCCTTTATATATTCTGGATACTAACCCTTTATCAGATATGTCATTTGCAGAGATTACTTACATAAATTTAAAAAAAAAAGTGGTGAGAGAGAGGGGTGCCTGGGTGGCTCAGTCGGTTAAGCATCTGCCTTCGGCTCGAGGTTATGGTCTCTGGGTCCTGGGATCGAGCCCCACATCAAGATCCCTGCTCAGCAGGGAGCCTGCTCCTCCCTCTCCCTCCGTGCACTCTCTCAAATAAATAAATAAAATCTTAAAAAAAAAAAAAGTGGTGAGAGTGGACATCCTTGTCTTGTTCCTGACCTTAGGGGAAAAGCTCTTGGCTTTTCACCATTGAGTATGATGTTGGCTATGGGTTTTTCATATAGAACCCTTATTATGTCAAGGTAGGGGTCTCACCCCTTTTGGACTCTGCTCAGTTGCTTCTTGATCTGGTTCAGAGTGTGGACTCTTACTTCTCTCATCACTCTATGAGACTTTGCATCTCCATTACTCGTGACCACAAATGGCTTGAGACATCTCCGGGCCATAATTCTAAGTGAGGATGGGTTGGGGTGGACCTTGAGAGAAAGCCTAGACAAGAAGGATACCCTTGATTCCCATGTATCAATCAATACTGTATGTCAAGAACCTTGCAAATGATTGCTAACATTTACTGAATGCTAACTTTGTGCCAGACACTCTTCTAAGCACTTTATGTGTTGAGTCATTTAATCCTCACAAAAATCCTATGAGGTATTATCTCCATTCTACAGATGAAGAAACTCAGGCATAGACAGGTCAGTCTTTTGCCCAAGGACATACAAGTAGTAAATGGCAGTTCCAGGATTCAAACCAGGCAATTTGACTTGAGTCCACACTTTTAAGTTTATTTATTTATTTATTTATTTATTTATTTATTTATTTATTTATTTAAGTAATCTATACACCCAATGTGGGGCTTGAACTCACAACCGAGAGATGAAGAATTGCATGCTCTTCTCACTGAGCCAGCCAGGCGCCCCACAAGTCCACAGTCTTAACCACTACCTTACACAGCTACATGTAAGACCTCATTTCATCCTTCTAAAAGCCCTCAGAGATAGGAACTACAGGTTTCCCCTGCTATCTGACAGTAGATGGTTCCTATGAAATCTTTTGTAAATTGAAATGGTGCAAAACGAAGAAGTGATTACCATTTCATAAAATCAAAAATCCTTTCCAGATTTCTTTTGGTTAGTGAAAACAAGTACTAATGTAGGTCTTCTGTAAAATTGAAGTTTCATAAAGCAAACTTTTGGATGGCAGGGGAATCCTGTATTTATATTCATTCCCATTTCATGGATAAGGAAATTGAGGTGTGGGAATTTTAATCAACTTGCCCAGGTTCATACAGCTAGTGAACAGCAGGTTCTCCAAGCTGTAAAAAACTTTAAGAACAAAAACATCTATTTCCAACCTTTAACTAGAGCACCAGCATTCTGCCTGCACACTACATGTGGAGACACCTGGCTGTGTTCCAAAACCCTTTCTACACCATATGGTCACCACCAGCAAAGTTTCTGCCTACTTCTAGGTTCTTGCCTAATTCTTCTCTACTAGGCAGAACAAATTGGTAAAGGCATTTACCCTCGTTGATTTTTAAAACTCCTACAATTTGTGGGCCCCTGGGTGGCTTAGTTAGGCGTCTGCCTTTGGCTTGGGTCATGATCCCAGGGTCCTGGGATTGAGTCCTGCATTGGGCTCCCTGCTCAGCGGGGAGTCTGCTTCTCCCTCTGCTCCTCCCCCACCCCCACCCCCACTCATACTCACTCTTTCTCTCTCTCTCGCA